GAAGAAGAAGAAGAAGAAGAAGAAGAAGAAGAAGAAGAAGAAGGTTGCGATCCGCCAATGGAATTTAAAGAAGAAGAAGCCCCTCCATGTACAAACGTACATTTCTAACAAATACCACACATTTAATGGTAATCAGCGTTGCATATGTGTCTGACCTAAATACCTTTTGTTGTTCAGTCTTTGTTCATCCTGCATCGCTCTTTTCTGTTCTTTAATGTAACGTTACTGGAGTGACAGAGCCTCTCTCAGCTGTTAGCAGACTGTTAGCGAGCTATACCCAGCATGCAGTTCGGCGGTGAAATTTTATAAATGTACAATTATTAGTGCTACAAATTGTTTATCTGTCACAAACTGTTGTGTTGTGGTGTTTTACCCTGTTAAAGAGCGTTAGTTGTGGGTTATTAATTGTTGTTATAAAGTTATGACCATGACTAGGGTTCCCTCTCAATACAGCTAAGAGAACTAGCGCCGACCACAGCCCTGTTGAAGCGCGACAGAAGATGTTACGGCTGTGCTCTGGTATGACGGTATATGAAAAATTCATATCGTATGGGAAATTAAAACTGGTATACCGCCCAGCCCTAATTTAGAGTTCCATTATGATTTCCACATCAGTATATTCTTTTCTTTAATGACACCAGGTGATCACTCACATGACAGTGTGTGTACGTGGCATCCTCAAAGTGGTACACGAGTGAGATGAAGAGGCAGGCGATGAGGCCGGTCAGAGGGAGCAGCACCGTCCCCACCGCGAAGCTGGTGAAAGGGAGCCGGACGAGGGGCTGGTCCCGGTCCAGGCTGCCGTACGGCCCCTGGAGCATCCTGGGCAAACACAACAGACAGTGACGGATAAGAAAACACTTTAAGAGGAACTACAGGATGTTTTTTCCCACCTGGACTCTTAAACACTAATACCAATAATAGCTGAGATCAGCTGATATCTGATAGTTCTACAGATGTGAATGTTGTTGTTGTTATTGTTGTTGTTGACATACTGTATGAATAAAGTAGAGCTATGTCAGTGGTGGAGGAAGTAAAAGTACACACACCAAACTGTGAAAATACTAAAAAGTACAATATTTACCTCTGAGATGTAGTACAGTAAAAAGTACAATATGTACCTCTGATATGTAGTACAGTATAATGTACAATATAGTTGAGAAGTATTAAGTTGCACAACATGGAAATACTCAACTAATGTACAAGTACCTCATATTTGTACTCGAGTAAATGACGTCAGGTACATTCCACCACTGGTCTACGTCATCAGTTATGTTTACCTGTCCAGGTGATGCAGTGAAGTTAACGTGACGTTATCTTCCACAGGTTATTGTTAGCTAACAGTTAGCTTCAGGTTAACAACATAAAACACTCACCTTTACAGCTCCGCAGGCTCGTGCGACCAGGTACTCCGCTTCACGCGCATTTGTTTACCTTTAGCTTGAGTTTAGCCTAAAAGAGCTAACCCTGTTAGCTTAGCTTCGGGAGTTAACGGGGACATACTTTATCTGTTTTTGTTCCGTTATTTGTTTTATCGATTCTCTACCTGAACTTTGCTCCAAGTCACCGGTGTGCGATATTAACTGGTTTTGAATTAACTTGTAATGTGGGAGTGCCTGAGGCAGATGTGTGGTAGGAGTGGCATTTCAGGACCCACGTAGAATAAACAGGAAATAAATATTTCGATCGTTTCGCCTCGCTTCTGTCTTTCACGTAGTTTCTACGGTTTCTTTTGATAGAATATAAACGGAACACTTTGCTGGAAAATGTACTACTCGTTCGCGAGGCTGTGGTTGAGATTCCGAGGACACATAACGAGGACCAGAGTGAATGACAAAGCTGGTGGTAGGTGTCAATGCCTGTTCAAAATACTTACGTCAATACAAAATACTTACGTCAATACAAAATACTTACGTCAATACAAAATACTTACGTCAATACAAAATACTTACGTCAATACAAAATACTTACGTCAATAAATCCTTTAAGAAACGCTCTGTTGACCGTCTTATATTTGTATCATATATCGTTATTAATCTCATGTCAAGTCGATTTGAGACCGATATACCTGTCTGTGCATCCATACAGCCTGTGAGTTAAACATATGAGCTCAAACACAGCGTACAGATGACTCAACTGTGGGAAGCTGTGATCTAACTTCTGTAGGCTCTCTCACATCGCTTATGTGTTATATTAAAGACTACGGACATGCATCTTATGTGAATGATATTCTACACTGTGCAGCACACATTCATCCAGATTAGACATGACTGGCAACTCTCGTTTTGTTACTAGAGGGACCGACATTTAATAACTACACGCAGGGGTTAGGGTGTCTGTTGAAACATTACGATGGAGAGGCTTGTTGGAGTATTTATTTAGGATTTCGACAGCATTACCACGACCAATTATCCATCTTCATTACGGAAATAAGATTTGTTGTCTGGTGACATAAAAATAGTCGAAATATGCATCATACAAGAATCGAACCGTTGACCGACCCATGATGTTCAAGCGTCATCTGAACTACCACTGAGCCACGGAGCAAAGAACAGGCACACCTACCACCAGCTTTGTCATTCACTCTGGTCCTCGTTATGTGTCCTCGGAATTTCAACCACAGCCTCGCGAACGAGTAGTACATTTTCCAGCAAAGTGTTCCGTTTATATTCTATCAAAAGAAACCGTAGAAACTACTTGAAAGACAGAGGCGAAACGATCGACATATTTATTTCCTGTTTATTCTCCGTGGGTCCTGAAATGCCACTCCAACCACACATCTGCCTCAGGCACTCCCACATAAACAAGTTAATTCAAAACCAGTTAATCTCGCACACCCGGTGCTTCATTTGATTCACGTTAACGTTAAATAAACACGCAAGTCTCCGTTGTATCACGTCACGTATCGTCATTAATGCATGTAGTTCATAGTTGTGTACATTAACTGCTCCACGTGTGTTTGACAGCATTAGTTAGTTATTTAGCAGATTAAGGATATCATACTAAATGTACTCAACTAATAAATTATGTGTTATTACAGATTAAACTACCAGCAATATATAAAGTCATTAAAGTGATTGTTGGGAAAAATCTAAATTACTAATTAGTATGCGTTTAATAATTATTGAATGTTATACATTTAACAGAGGCTCGTGTCCTCTGTAGTGTTTAAGGCCTGTGTCCTTGTGTGAACTATTTGGGACACCAGGCATCTTCAGCAGATGTTTAGTCTATTAAGAAGCAGTTGATTGCCGAAAGAACACTTCAGCTGTTTGTCCTGAATAAGAATGATAATAAACTTGTAGAAACCGTCAATACTTACGCAGGGCTGATTTGCGACCATGATTGACGAGAAAGTGACCTTTGTACTAGAACGAATTGTTAAAGTGTCCAGATACGTAGACGCCTGTGTGAAACGCAAAATGTGTGTGTTACCCTGTGCCAGCCCACTGCATGTTGTTTACTTAGTATAAATACCAGAGACTCGGAGACAGATCTTCGAGCGGTCTTGATGTACATTCTGTATGTGAATCAACCCTGTCTCCTTCTTTGCAAAGAATAAATGTCCGATGATTAATGATTTTTACACCAGTCTCGAGTGAATTTTTCTAACAGTGATGAACACATGAATTTTTGTACTTTTACTTAAGTCAGACTTTGAGTAAGTAAGATTTGAATGTAGGACTTTTACTTGTAAAAGAGTATTTACACCATGTGGTGGTATTAATACATATTGTTTTACTGAAGTACAAGTTGTGTAGACTTTCTCCATCACTGTTAAAATAATGTTGTTTATTACATTATACAAGAAGTGCAAGAAGATATTAATTTAATGACGTTCTTATTCTCGTCTGTTTGCATCTCAGTGATGGATGAAGATGAAGAGCTGGAGAGAGGGATGCTGAGTATCTCTCCTTCAAAGCAACATGTGCAGAGCTGTGAGTAAACATTTGCTGTCTTTTATTTCTACCACCTGAAGATTCATTCTATTCAGTATATATATGATGTTTTTTGTTTGTGTTTAACAGCTGTTTCAGCATCGTCATCAACAGCCAGACAACAACAGGCTTCGGGAACAAAAAGAGGTGTTTCACCAAAATCGTTCTGCCGTCAACTGACAAGCCTGGGACCATGACTTCTTATCCCACATGAAGACTTGAACCGTTCTCATGTTGACCATGTTCTGGTCCCGTTTGTGTTTTGGTGTTGTGCTTGTTGTCCTAGTGACTATGAATTGATACCAGTCATGATGAGGATACGTATCACTCTGTTTTCTTATATGGTTAAAAAGAAACAATATGTATGTATGAAACTGCTGTGTTACGAACACCTGACTGCATGTTTGAAGTGTGCCATGTTGCTTCACCTGCCTAGGCTACATCATAATGACTGACGACTGAATATTAACCCATTGAAACATAAACACATGTGTATGAATGAAGTATATTCTTTATATATTAATGTGAGAAACAGTCTGTTTCATTGGATAAGGCTGAGAAAGGTGAAGTAACGATACTAACGAAGAGGACTGAATCCCTGCCCACAGGTCGCAAGTGTGGATTCTGTCAGATGGATCTGAAGCAGGGCCCAAACAGTCCTCATTTTCATACGGGGTTCCCTGGAGTAACAGGGAAGTACATTTACTGCCCTGGTAAAGTATTTTCCTTTTACAAAGACCAGGGCATGGAGAAGGAGACGACCTGGAATGAGTTCCAGGGGTCTGCTTTTTATGAGACAGAAAAAAAGAGATGGGAGGTTGAAAAGGGAAAGTAAGAAAATAGGGGAGTGTTTTGTCATTATTATATTTGTGTTGTGTATTTGTGACCTTGCATTATTGGCTCTGTGTTCAATATTCACTGTCCCTGTTGTGTTTAATACATATATTTCATTCACTAATGTTTACATGTCTCATTAATACGTAAATCATTATCGTCAACAGTAAAAACTACAATATAATTGGTTAATAGCCATAAATAAGTCAAGTACTTGATAATCTATCTGCCACTACAATCTAGTGATAATCAGGAACAGTTCAAGTTGGGTAAACATTTCTTGGTTTTAATAGCTCTTTATCATTGATGAGGCTTAGCCCCAAGTGAGACTCGAACCTGCGTCCAGGAGCTGAAACCAGCGATATGAAAGTGGATTTTGAGCACCTTGGACAGCGTTAATAATGCTGCAATTTCATTGGCTGTCAGCGTATGCCAACTATACACGACTTGTCTCCACGGCCCGTCCCTGCTTAGCTTCCGAGATCAGACGAGATCGGGCGTGTTCAGGGTGGTATGGCCGTAAACAGAGACTACCCACCAAAGGGCCTTTTTAAGACACTCTGCTGTTTTGTCTATCTGTAGCATAGTCACAACAAATCATTAAAATGTAATTTTCTAAGTACTCCATAAAAGAAAAAAAAAAAAAAAAACACCAGTATAATTTGGCATAAAAATAATATACAACATGCCATCAAATAAGAATGTCTTAGTATGTCATACAATTAATCTTTAAGTGTCCAACTCAAAGCATGGAATCTGTGTTTTTCGCATGTCTCGCGTTTTGCAGGGGACCCCCGTGTTCTGTCGAATTTGGTGCAATTTGGACATGGTGAAACATTCAATATTAATAAACTTTGAAAAATTTTAGAACAGGGCTGTGTGTCGCACCGCTGGCGGAGCTTCAGAGCTCCGCATCAGGGCTATTCCGAATGGGCCAACAGGCACTGCACTAGTGTAATAAAAAAAAAATAAAAATAAAAAAATTGTAATATATAGTATGCCACAAAAATGTCATTGTATAATGATTAAAAAAAAATGAATGTGTAGTATGCTATAAATAGTAATAACATGGTACACCATAAAAGTGTGTCGCAGTATAGTATGTTATATAAAATATATATAAACAAACATCTGCAATACACTTTTCAGCTACAGCGTCAAACGTAGCGCCTTTAACAAGCAACTCGTAGGTTGTAGAGCTACTGGTTTTCCCATGTGGCTCTTAAACATATGCTGGTACCCTAAATTCAAACTGAAGTCATGAGCACTTTGATAACCCCTGGTTTAGTCTGTACAAATAAAGTTTAAACTGACATTTCAGAATTGTTCAGCGGTTGGCAGACAACCTGTGAACATTGAGTTACAGAAAACGATTAATGAAATGACCAACTTTTGCTTTTAAATATTTCATTCAGTGATGAAACAAGTTGACAGTTTGACCCAATTTTATTAATTTCCTTTGGAAAACCTATTGTCGTATTTCATTGCAACAACACATTTCAATCTACAGTGTACACTTACCATGGGTTGTAAATAGTAAGGTCATCTGAAACAGGGCTGCGTGCATTACAGTTGAAGCAAAATTGTTCAGCAAACAAAAAATGACCACGAAGTTGGCCGTTAAAGTGACTCAACAGTCACAGAAAGAAAGGACTCAATCCCGACAAGTAAAATATTTACATTGAGTTTTAGTGGGAAACACTTTGTATTCTACTGTCAGGAAGACAAAGTTTAAACACAAAAGGCAATAAAAACAAAAAGTCAACAGGATCTTAAAAAAGTACAGTAATGACTATTTAAAACCATGTCTCACGTTATTCATATTTTAGTCCTCGTTTCCTCATCTTTACAAAAATGATTTGACCGCTTTCCTACTAAAGACCCTCCTTCGCTAAAGCTTCTACAGTTAAGACAACAAATCGTTCTTTTTAACGTCGAGTGATCAGGCACAGACATGTCGTGGCCTATATTAAAAATATAAAAGTGGAACGTTAACACTGCCTGGTTCTTAGTCACTCATCTCCATGTCTTCCTGATGGTGGTCGTCTCCATTCACTTTGGACTTTTTGGGGATGTGGCCCTCTGACCTCTCCATCTCCATCTCCTCCTGGCCTTTGGGGGATGAGGCAGAGTCAGAGTCGCTCTTCCTCTCATCGTCATCCTCCTCTCTTTCCTTTTCACTGTCATAACCTTGCTCCTCTTCATCGTAATCCCGGGTCACCTGTCCGGACAATTGTTTTTGAAAGATTATTTTTTGGGGGGCATTTCTACTGTATTTGATAGAGAGAGACGAACAGAAAAGATGATGACAGTTAAATAATTAGTTATTAAAAAGGGGCCATCTTCTGGGATGTTTAATTCATTTCAAAACAATATTCTAAACATACCTTAACGTCTCCTTTCTCACTATCAGACTTGCGTTCCCGGTCTCGCTCCTTGTCTTTGCTCTTCTTCTTCTTACTGGCCGAGCGTTCCCTTTCGTCTCTGCTCCGGTCTCTGTCCTCCCTCCTGTCTCTATCCCGTTCCTTCTCACGCTCCTTCTCCTTCTTTTTCTCTTTCTTGTGACTGAACATGACAAATGTATCATTTCAGTTGTTGAACTAGATATGACTGAATGAATTGCATGTAAAAATGTGTTTGACATCTCACCGTCTGAGCGATGGAGACCTGGACAACCTCCTCTTGGGGGACCGAGATGCACTGCGGCTTCGCCTGTGCCTCCTGAGACACAAAGTAAAAGAAATAAATACGATTTTATAAGTCCGTCACTCTTACGAAATCAGGCACTGCTGCCTTTTAAAGTAATTTGCTTTTATGAATGTAAATCACATTAACTGAAAGGAAGACCACTCACCGACTAATGCTTCGAGACCTCCGGGCACTGCTGTAGCTCTTGGGGGGCGTCTTTGACCTTTTCTTTGCCTTCTCCTCCTTCCTCCGGTCCCTGATCAAGACACAAGCAAGGTCAACAACGTTAGCAAAAACTGGATGTACTGGCAGCTCTTACAAGTGATACAAAGTATTGTGTATTAAGAGAGTTTAAAAATAAAAATCAGAACTTCAACGACAGCCTAAAGCAGTGGTTAACACAAGTGGTCGGCATTAAACTTTGATGAGGCAGCAATTCAATGCTGACCTAGATCTGCTGTGGCGGTTCCTCTCCCGGGAGTGGGTCCTCCTCCTACGTGGACTCTTGGACTTCCTCCTACTTCTTGAATGGGACCTCCGCCGAGACCTGCTCTTCGAACGTCTGCCAAAAATGAAGCGGTATCACATTTTAAAACATAGCAAATCAATTATCTTGTGCATGTCATTTGATTTACATCTGTCCGGAGACAGAGTTCGTCGCGCCGGTGTCTTTACCGGTGTCTTGAGCGAGATCTGGACCGCCTTCGCCTTGACCGTGAACGGGAATGTTTGCGCTTGTCATCTTTTTTATCTGCAAAACAATGACACAAAGTTGAATATCTCACAGGAACAAATACTGAAAAGCTGACAAAATTCCAGCACAATGTTTAATTAAATGGAACATTGGCTTCTTCATTATAATGTACTTTATAAACTGCTACATAAAACAAGTAGCCCTTTCTGTAAAAGGCGACACGAGGAAGCGGAGCACTCACTTCCAGGTTCAATGGCTGCAGAGATGAGAGACTGGGCCTCTCGGACTCTCTTCATGGCCTCTTCTATCTCCTTATTGGACGCATCGTTCTTCAGCCCTGGATTCAAGTTCAGTCCGGCCGCTAATGGATTAAGTCTGCAAGTGCCATCAATTATTTAGTTGTGTTTTTTGTCTTCCAAAAAAATGATTTAGGCTCAATGGATTGCAAAACCCTGAATGAGAGCGTGTAAGGTTTCTTACTTGGGGTCCATGGATTGCATGAGCTTCAGAAAGTCTGCAGAAAGAGCCTGAAAAATAAAGAGGGAAATTAAAATTAGAAATATTTAGTTTAAGCATGCTGCGACTATGACTGTGACTGACCAAGTGCTCACCTGGGGGTTCATGTTAGGGCCTTGCATTCCCATGGCAGCCATTTGCTCCATGCTGGGACCTCCGAGACCTCCAAATGGTGTCCCTCCCATCTGAAATACAGACACGCTTACACTTTAAGCAAAAAAAAAAAAAAAAAAAAACTTGCCACAAAACTTTTTATCAAGCATCCGGCAGACGCAACACAGCCTCATGTCTCAATTATGAGCAGCGCGTTTCGATAAATCATTGTGCCCATTTACATCAGTGTTACTTTAGAAATAAATGTCACTTTCAGTCCTGACAGAATCTCAACAAACATGCAAACTCACCAGGGGTGAAAAAGATCAAGAAATTATTTGAACTATCCAACAATAACACAAATATCTAAGTTACTAGTGATCTTTAAAAAAAGGCAACCAGAATCTACATCAGCAACCCATAATGATCATGAGCACAATGTATACTTGAGAATCAAACTTAATGTCAAAACTCACTGATGCCAGAGGATTGGGTGTTGGAAGAAGGCCTCCCCCAGGCATCATTCCTGCCACGGCATTGGCTGGAGCCAGCAGCGACATAGCTTTAGATTCATCAGGAATGACTCCTGGAGAAAAACAACATTTCAGTACATGCTCCACGCAAACATTGATGAACACTCAAACAAGACTTGCAGACAAGCCACCTCTGTCTAACTACTCTGTATTCAAATAATGAATAAATAAAAAGAATGCACTTTTATTTTTTGTCTTGTCTGTAAATCTTGAGCCCTGATTTCTTTTTTTTTTTTTTTTGTGAAAGTATGATTGTATGATTAGCAGCTATGAATTTATGAGTCACAATACACACTGGTCAACACTGCCAAGATTTTTTCACCTGTACTTGTTTTTTAAGTCATGAACCAAACGTAAGCAAGCACAGCCAGTTGTCCCGTGGGATGTGCTCTCAACTTTCATTAGATGTTTTATGAACAAGCGACTCGTGCCGGCTGCTTCGCTATAAAGCACACAAAAACATTGAGATACAGAAAACAAAGTTCATGATTTGGGTGTAGACAAGGGTACATTTCAACATTACTTACCATTTCCAATACAAAAACAGAAAAGGTTCAGACATATTACCTTTTCTAGGCTTTTGTTGGTGGTTACTTTGTACAATTCCACCACAAAAAAGAAAGAAAAAAAAAAAAACTTGCCAACCAAATAAAAGTATTACTAACAAGCTACAGTACTGCTAGGTTTTGGCCAACAGTATGTCACTAAAAACACTAAACAATGTCAAAGATAAACTGCACTAAACAGTTACAGGCTCTTACCAGCAAAAGCTGTGATAAAATCATGACAAATGTGCCCAAAACTGAAGAAATCAAACAGTAAATTCAAAAGGGAAAATCTTAGAGATGATCATCCATGGTGCAATCTGAAAACAGGCTATTTCTTAATCTGACATTTTAACAGGGGGGGGGGGGGGGG